GGCTACTGCGTTTTCCTCGGCGACAACCTTGTCTCATGGTCGTCTAAGCGCCAGGCCACTACTTCTCGCTCCAGTGCCGAGGCCGAATACCGGGCTGTAGCGAATGCTGTTGCAGAAACCAGCTGGATCCGAAACCTCCTCCTTGAGCTCCAGCAGCCACTCCGTCGCGCCACACTTGTCTTTTGTGATAATGTCAGTGCGGTCTACCTTTCGTCAAACCCGGTGCAGCATCAGCGCACCAAGCACGTCGAGGTTGACATACACTTTGTGCGTGATAAGGTGGCGCTCGGTCAGATCAGAGTCCTGCATGTTCCGTCCTCTTCTCAGTTTGCTGATATCTTCACGAAGGGACTGCCCTCACAATTATTTCTTGACTTCAGAGAAAGCCTGGGTATCCGACCCCCAGCACTGCCGACGTAGCCGGGAGCATGTTAAATATATATATATATTATATTTAATATTATTGTATTATTATTGTTACCATATTTGTATAGGTTTCCTATTGTGTCTCTCCTACCTTAATTAGGATTGAGACTTGTGTATATATACATGTACTCTCCTGACAATTTATTCCATGAAAATACTTATTCTTCAAATCTGTTCCAAATTCAAACAGACCCTTTTTCTACCAACAACTCCTCTTCTGTTGTTACTTTAACACCGACCCGTCCATGAGTTGGTTACGACAATTACACCAAAGAGAACTGACTGTTCTCTTGCACAAGTTAAAGTCGTTCATGATTTCTTTAATTGTGCCTTGCTGAAGTTTTCCTTTGCTTGACTTGTGTAGCAAGATGTCTAGGATAATTTGCCTTTCCACGTCGTTCAGATTTCTTTTGCTTTGTTTGATAGGAACACTGACTTCTTCTTCTTCTTCTTCTTCTTCTTCTTCTTGGACAGGTGCACTGCTGGAGGTGTGTGGGTGAAGACATGGAGTGGAATGAAGAACTGAAGATGCCATGGCAGCATCTCTGTTCATGTTGTGGAATGAAGAATTGAAGAACTGGAGAGATTTTTTTTTGCAGGATGTACTCCTTGAGTGTGCAGGATGTAGTCCTTAAATATTGTTTGCATTTGTGTAATTAAATGGAGGGAAATTTTCCCTCCAAGACAAAGATGTGATGTGTTGATGTGTTTGGTGTTATATTAGATATTTGTAATGATTATTGTACTTGCAATGCTTGTTTGTGTTTTTTACTCCAGAAGTGGCGGTTTCCTTCTTCTTATTTGTGTTCTTTACTCTTTTTTTTATTATCAAAAACACAAAAACTGCATAGAGGGGCAATTTTGGAAGGTCAATGCCATTTTTTCCAATCCTTAAATATACCCCAAAGTCAAAACGGGCGATATAAATCGGGACGGAGGGAGTATTTTTTAAAAAATAAGAAGAAAATGTACCCCGCAAAAATTAATTTGAAATAAACAAAGTGAAAACCAAAAGAAAAACTATGAGCAAGAAAATTTAGTTGTCTGTGTAATTCTTGGTATGTATTTAGTGTCAAATGTTTGGTGTCTCCCTAACACTAGGGGTGCATACAAATCAAATAAAATGTATTTGATTCGTGATTCGTATTCAAAAAGGATGATTCGTACGTAGTATTCGCTATATTCGAATTCGAATCCGAATACAAATCGTATTTTAGATTCGAATTATTTTCGAATCGAATACAAATATTAATAGATTCGATTCGTTTATTATTCGAATTATTCGAGTATTATAATTTATAAATAAATTTATATATATTCTAATATATTAAATATTTGTGTACATATTTTAACATATTTTAATATATTAAATTTCTATGTACATATAAATTTATATATGTTCGAATATTATAATTTATAAATAAATTTAATAATTTAATGTCTTTAAGAAATCTGTTTTAAGAAAAAAAATTCTAATATTTTTGAATTCAAATATTCGAATACGAATTCAAATACGTCAAATATCTATCGAATCGAATACGAATGTTTTTTAAAATTAGAATTATATACGAATCCGAATTCAAATACATATCACTTTAATTGAATACGAATCGAATAGTGATATATTTGGTTCGGTTCGATTCGTATACACCCCAACCTAACACTATTAAAGAAAATTTACTTTGTAATCGTATTTTTATCTCTTTATTTATGAAATTATTTTCTTTCTTAACCCTCTTTGTCAAAATTGGTTCTTCTAATTGTTTGGATCTTGATTCTTGTGCCATTATATATTGTGTCCTGGATCGCTATTTGCTACCCGTTCAAGTTTGATCCATCTCCCATCAATTGGGTTGGTCTCCAAATCCAAAAAACAGCGGCCACGTGCCCTACAGCACCCCCCATTTTGTTTTGCATTTTTAGAGCACGGTCAATATCATATAAAGAAATGAAATGTCACATGTTGAAATAATACATTTTAATCAATAAAAAAAATTCAGAAAGCCTGTGGCATATAATGCTGTGGCAAGTTATTATTTTTGTTAATATTTATACTACCTCCGTCCCACTCTTTTTGTTCAGTTTTGACTTTTGGGACTGTTCATCTAAGCACTTTGACTCATGAAATTCTCTCAATGTGTAAGTCTAAAAATAGTCATGTGTGATCTTGTTTGATTTGTCTTAACATATAAATTATTAATATATAATTTTTATAATTTTTTAATATACAAATTATAAGATAAAATGGATTAAAGAAGTGCATTGGATGGTGTGCAAAAATGAAAGTGGACAAAAAGAGTGGGACGGAAGGAGTAATATTTTAATGTATTTTAATTATTAAAAATTATTTCATTTTTCTTTTTTTTTAAATGGATGCACTCCTTTTTAAGAAAATTCTTTCTTCTACAAAATTTTAAAAAAATAATACAAGAAGGATGCCTAGCGCCTCACATCCTTTGAAGTTCCTTTGAAGTTTGAACCATAATATATATGGAGTATAATTACAGAGTACTACTTTCGAGCATTAATCTCAATATAATTTTTGTTTGTTTACATATTTTAATAAAATAAAACATTTTTGACAATTTTTTATTTTGTAAAATTTATTATTCATTTTTTAAATATATACCTTTAAAAATAAAGGGAAAAATTTACAATAATAATCTGATCTGATTCAATAAGAATAAATAATAAGTTGAGGAGAATATAACCTATGTCACACATTCATCTTTGGTATTTGTAAAAATTTAGAATTGAATATGTTGCCTTCATTGATACAATAATCTCGTATATATAGTACAAGAGTTACCAAACATAAACAAGGAAATACAATTCTACAAAGAAACAAATTAATATATAATATTTACAAATTATATATTCCAATACCCCCCTTTCAAATTGGAGTATGTATGTCGTGAGTGCCCAATTTGGAGAGTAGAAAACGAAAGAGTAACGCGGGAGGTGCCTTCGTGAAAATATCTGCAATAAAAAGAAGAGTAGGGACATAGGTAGTGATAGCATGTTGACGCAAAGAAGTCTGACTTATACTGCCACACTTATCATATTATCATACTCCCTCCGTCCCCAATTTGATTATAAATTGCGGGTTACGGAGTAAAATTTCCTACTTTTTGAAATCATTTTATTTACAAATTGGTATATCAATAAGTTATAAAAATTACATATTAAAAAACTACGTCAAAAGTTCTACAAAATAAGAGGTGACAAGAATATTTTATTTTATCAAATACTTGATGAAATCGCGTAAACAAACAAAAGTTATCGAGAGGAGAGAGAAAAAAAAATTGTAATCAAATTGGGGACAGAGTGAGTATTACAACTGTCACATCATCATTGTCACACTGTAATNCACTTATCATATTATCATACTCCCTCCGTCCCCAATTTGATTATAAATTGCGGGTTACGGAGTAAAATTTCCTACTTTTTGAAATCATTTTATTTACAAATTGGTATATCAATAAGTTATAAAAATTACATATTAAAAAACTACGTCAAAAGTTCTACAAAATAAGAGGTGACAAGAATATTTTATTTTATCAAATACTTGATGAAATCGCGTAAACAAACAAAAGTTATCGAGAGGAGAGAGAAAAAAAAATTGTAATCAAATTGGGGACAGAGTGAGTATTACAACTGTCACATCATCATTGTCACACTGTAATTTATTACCACCGATCACTAGAGATCACCACCAGCGGCAAAGAAGTCTGAGTCTTGACCATTCATGATCCGACCCAATTCTAAAACCCATCCCCCTAAAAGGCTAAAACTTAAAAAATCCTAGGTCTATCCAATTTAAATGAAATACAGTGCTAAGAAATGCTGGTCCCCAAATGACCAAACCTTTCGCGATCGAACTTAACCAAAATTAAAGATATGCAGTTGGTAGGAGTAGGAATAATAAATTACTCGTGATAATACATATCTTCGTCTTTCAAAAATTTTATATTTCATCATCCTTTTATATTCAAAAAGTCATTTTTTTTATTTTTCTTTTTTAATTTTATAATTTGTTTTATTTTTCTCCTTTAAATTTCTCTCTCGTTTCAACTATACAAATACATGTTTTAAGGCAATGTTGTTTTCACCTTATTTAAATGGTTCTGATCTAATTAAAATAATTTTGATTTAGCCTAATTAAATCTGTTCTCAATGTAAATATATTTACAATTGTTTTTTATCTGATCTGATTTTATCTAATTATAATAAATTAAAAATACATACCTTAATAAGGAATGGCAAAGCCTAAGTGTGGGCTGGCAGATCAGCTAGCTGGCTTTATCGTCACCACACTGAATTTCAAATTCATTGAAACTTGAAGAAAAAAATACTCACTCCATACTGCAGGTCATCAACCGGCTTTTTTTTTTAAATTTAAAAGGCAAGCATTGGTAAAGACATACTCCATCCGTTCCCCTGTATTTGTCCATATTTGACTTTTGGAACTGTTCATCTAAACACTTTGACTCATCAAATTCTCTCAATGTGTAAGCCTAAATATAGTCATGTGTGATCTTGTTTGATTTGTCTTAACATATAGATTATTAATATTTAATTTTTATAATTTTTTAATATACAAATTACAAGATAAAATGGATTAAAAAAGTGCATTGGATGGTGTGTAAAAATGAAGGTAGACAAATACAGGGGGACGGAGGGAGTATTTTCCTATTTTCTTCCTACTCCGATCCCTTCTTAGTCAAATAACTCATTCCTCTTTTATTTATCCTAAAAAAATGTACCCATTATTATATTGTTTAGTACTATACATGACCGTGTTTTATAATATAAATATATTTTAATTCTTGTTTCAGAAATAAAAAATGGAAGTCTTATTTTGGTATATTTTTAATATTTTACCCCTAATTTTGTCTTTTTCCCTTACTATTCATACGGTCAAACTTTAATCATTTTCTTTACGTACTTATTTTTGTTAGTTTTTTATAAAATAATATAGCCTTGTCTCTCTTGTTTTGTACTCCCTCCGTCCCAAAAAGTCCGACACGTTTCGAAAAAACTGTGTCCCGTAAAGTCCGTTACATTTCTATTAAAAAACCACTTTTACACATTACTTTTTCATACCCTACTTATCACATCATACCTTTTTTCTAATAATCTACTCATCACATCCTACTTTTATCCATCACATCAAGGGTATTTTTGGAAAGTCAACACCAAAATATTCATCCCTTAATTTCCCAAAAAGTCAATATGTACCAATCTTTTTGGGACGGATAAGGTACAAGTTTTGATGTAGTTTTTAAATATATAAATTTTTTAATTTAATTTTACACCTACAATCAAATAAATTGAATTGAAAATAAATCCGACCCAACATCGTAAATAGAAATCAAAATAACATTTAAATATTTATCACTATTCTATTATCCGGGTTTAGTGACGATAGAGATGAGCAAAAAGAATGGACTAGTCAGACCGGATCGTTCTTTGGAAAGACTGGTATTATTTAGGACGGGATTGGTCAGGTTTTTTTAAAAACCTGTCCAGACTAGTCTAGTCTTCACAAAAACAGAGATCTTTTGGGACCGGATAATCTGGACCGGTCCAAGTCCGGCCCGATCCTTAACATGTTAACTTCCTTAATTTTTTTTTCAAAAAAGATTTAATAAAATAAAAACAAAAATCTTATTTTTGATTATTTAATTTCTTTTTTTCAACCTCGTATAATTTATTGATTTATAATAATTATACAACATAAATATTATTATGTAAGATGAAAGTTAGATAGAATTACCGAAAAAATAAATTTTATATTTATGTTTTATAGGTATGAGATTTTTTTATCAATTCTTTGTAAATTTTAAACAAAATCATGTAATACACTATGCTCTATATTGATACGATAAATATATTTCTATAAAAATTAAATTTTAAATTACAAGTATAGATGTATAAAAGTTATATATCAAATATATTATATTTCTAGTCTTAGTTTGGTCCCGGTCTAGTCTTTTAAAAAATCTATCCAGCTCACGATCGGTCTAGTTTTCATAAAAAATCAAAGACTAAATGACAGTACCGATCTCAAGGACTACATCGATCCCAACATTTCGAGTTTCAATTTCAATATATCTCGATCAATCTTTTCCATTCTAGTCTTTATGTCCATCACTAACGGGCGACCAACCTTTTTTGGCTCACAAAAATACGTGGATGGCCTCCCCTAATTAAATTCAGGAGTAATGGCCCGCCACACCCGAAGAGCCCATACACTGTTCATGTGCCCCACGCCAAAAGAGTGAGTGAGTGAGCAAAGGGAAGGAATCATGCTAGCTAGCAAGGGGCAAGCAAAAGACGCATCCCTTTTTTTTATCCTTAATTGCATTGCCAGCTGTGAGCTTCAGTGACCAGCTGTATTCCGCCACGTGTTCCTCAACCATTGGCTCCCACGTTGGCTCGTCGCCTTATCCTTTTAATTGGTGGCCCCCGCCTTTAGTATCCAGCCTAGCAATAATCTTTTCAACGGCTATAATATTCCACTTCCATGCGTATTCTCACTCCTACGTGGCACTACACAGTCCGACCTGGCAGTATGGCTTCCCCACGAACCCTCAATCCCGGGATTATAAATACCCACTATACGCCGGAGATCAAATATGCCCCGGGCAGCACGGAAAAAGAAGAGAGCTTGAGTTATAATAATGGCCTTCTCGGGTTCGACGGCGGCGAGTTTCGGCGTTTTCTTGGTGCTCTGCTTTGCCGGTTTATCGGCGGCCGTCCCGGCGAAATTTGACGACCTCTTTCAGCCTACCTCTCAGGCCGACCACCTCATCGTTGACGGAGATGTCCTCCACATGAAGCTAGATAACCTCTCCGGTACGTCCCTCCGCCGGATCTGTTCTCGTTCACTGTCGGCGCTTATCTTTTCTTGAATTTTCTTTGATGGTAATTTGACATTTGGGTTTTCAGGTGCTGGGTTTCAATCGAAGAGTAAGTATCTGTTCGGGAAAGTCACCGCCAAGATCAAGCTTGTCGCCGGAGACTCCGCCGGGACTGTCACCGCCTTCTACGTACGTAAAAGCTCTCTTATTTTCTTTGAAATGAATTGTAGATCTGCCATAGATTAACATGTTCTGCTATACATTTTGGATTGATTGTCACAGATGTCATCCGATGGGGCAAAACACCACGAGTTCGATTTCGAGTTCTTGGGGAACACTTCCGGCGAGCCATATCTGGTTCAGACCAATGTTTACGTCAACGGCGTCGGAGACAGGGAAGAAAGAGTGAACCTCTGGTTCGATCCCACAAAG